GGACGGGGGGGGAGTAAGTCAGCACCAGAAGGGACACAGGTGCTGTCCACTGATGTCCCTTGAGCCAAGGTCTTGCTTTTGGTGGAAAGGCATAAAAACGGAGCCCTTATTAATATCTTTTGACTCAATACAAAATCATCCCCCAACCCCACACGGGACTCCAAACGGAAAGGCAAGCATTTGATTAGAAACCAGACCAAACACATGATTGAATTAACCCACCTCGTTCAGTGGTTCCAACTGCCCTTTTAGAGAGCCAGGGAAGCCAGGGTGGGGGGCAGAGAGGTTATAAAGAGAGAGAGAGGGGGAGGGAGAAGGGAGGGAGGAGGGGGAAGGGGAGAGGCAGGACGAGAGGGAGAGGGACAGAGAGGTTCAGAGAGGAGAGGGAGAGAGGGAGAGAGGGAGAGAGGGTGAGAGAGGAAGAGAGAGAGAGAGAGAGAGAGAGAGAGAGAGAGAGAGAGAGAGACAGTTTAGCAATATTCCAGCAAGTCAGAAAGCAACAAGACAAAACAGAAACACCTGCGTCTTTGCACTCACCATGCTGGGGAGGGAGTTGACTTACTACCAAGGTATGGCTAGAACATTTGCAGGGCTGCTGGGAGCCTCTTGGTTAACTAACAACCGCGAATAAATGGGAAATGTGAGCTTTTCCATTTGATGTGCACCGTATGCTGTTATGAATCAGAGCGGGTGGATAGACAGTCATGCTATCCAACGCGCAGCCACACTTGAGGGGTTTGCAAACCTTCCCCAGACTGAAATAGCCAGAAACCAACCCAAGGGGGCCTGATTAGCTAAACTGGTAGGCTGACTCCCCCGCCCCTGCCGAGGCCCTACCTTCCAATCCTGCTCCAATCCTGATGGTGGAAAGCCTCCTATGACCACTCACAAATGGGGGAGGGGGATGGAAGGAAGCCACCAGCAGGTTCTCCCTTCCTGGTTTGGTTCCACCCCCATCCTGTCTTCTCATAGGTTTCCAAGTCCCAGACTCCCTCCGCCCCTTCCAGAGAAAGGGCTTTCCCCAATGGGTCTAGGATTTCTTTCTTTCTTTAAAAAACATTATTACATTTATTTACTGTGTGTTTGTGTGTAGCCGTGAGCACGCATGCTTCTGTATGGAGGTCAGAGGACAAACTTGCAAGTGTTGGTTCTCTCCTTCCACTATGTAGGTCCCAGGATTTGAACTCAGGTTGTCAGCCTTGGTGGCAGGAGCCTTTACCCACTGAACCATCTCACCTGCCCTAGGATGCTTTTTTATTAGAAACCAGACCAAACACATCATTGAATTAACCCATCAGGCAGGTTATAAGTCCTGCCCCCCATCTTAGACAGGAACTGGGATGCATCCCAAATTCAGGACTTTGGAACCCACTGGGAGACAGAACTGCCTTTCCCAGGAAGGACAAAGTCTCGCTTTGTTCCCCCTGAATGTTAATTTCTTTCTCATGCTTGTTCACTCCTGTCCTTCCTCTCAAACAAAGGGAGCCGAGTCCTCAGAGGCTGGAGATAGCCCAGTCCACCCTGAATTTAATACTGTGACATTCCCTGTGTGTTTGTTTTTCCAGCCACCTTCTGTTTCCATCATGTGATCCTGGCTCCCTTTGCCGGTGGGTGACATAACGTTTCCTTTACAGACCATTTATCTGCTTCTTTGGTTGGCTGTTCTGAGACAGGGTCTTACTTGGTGGCCCAGGTGAGCCTGGAACTTTCCAACCTCCTGCCTTGCTTTCCCAAATTCTGGGATTACAGGCATGTACCATTGTGCCTGGATTGATTTTTTTTTTTAATTACAAATATGGGAATCTGTATTCTCTGTATGTACGCAGACAAGTATGGTGCTCATGCACCTGTATGCTTCTATGTGCGCAGAGGTCAATGTCAAGTGTTTTCCACGGTCGCTCTCCACCTTATTTTTTTTTTAATATTTATTATTTTTATTTTATGTGTATGAGTGTACTGCCTGCATGTATGTAAGTGCAACCATGTCATGAAATGTCCTCAGAGGTCAGATGGGGGTGTCAGAGTCTCCTGGAACTGGAGTTAAGGACAATTGTTAGCCGCCATGTGGGTGCTGGGAATTGAACCCCGGTGCTCTGCAAGAGCAGCCAGTGCTCTTAACTGCTGGGCCATCTCTCCAGCCCTTCTCCACCTTAGTTTGGAGGCAGGGTCATGCTCTGAATCTGGAACTCATCAATTCAACTAGACTGGCTGACCAATGAGCCCCAGGGATCCTTCTGTCTCTGCCTCCCCAGTGCTGGGGTACAGATACCCACCACCACACCCAGTTTTTACATGGTTGCTGGGGACCCAAACCCATTCTCGCATGGCAAGCACTTTACCTAGTATGCCACCCACCCACCCCCAGTCCCAAGGGAGTTCAATTATAGAAAAAGTCAATAATATTGTAGGTGGCACAACTACTAACTAAAATTCAAAACAGGAGCTCTTCTGAGTCTGGGTCTCCTTTATAAATGACACAAGTGCTGTGTGTTTCCCAGCTGTAAAATAAAACACGCTTTTTTCTGTGGCTTCCAAAACAAGGTAGCTCCTCTTGGGCTCCAGGAATCATCCTGGCAGATGTGACAGGAGAAAGCTGTGCCCTAGTGGGACACGTATGAGAAAGTGCTTGAAAATGTTTATTAGAAGCCGGCCATGGTGTGTGCTCCTGTCATCCTAGTCACAGAAGGTTAAGACAGGGAGGTCATGAGTCTGAGGTCAACCTGTACTACAGAGTAAGATGTTGTCTCGAAAAAAGCTGGTGAGATGGCTTGGCAGGTGGAGGTGTTTGCTTCCAAGCCCAGTGACCCCAGTTCAACCCCGGAACCCACATGGTGGAAGGCAAGAGAACAGATTCCCACAAGTTCTCTTCTGACCGCCATATGTGTGCCATGAAACACGTGTTCACACACACACACACACACACACATACACACACACACATGTAAACAGCCGAAAAGTGAAACATTTGATATAAAATGGTGTTTCCACAACCTACGGCACTCTCACGATTTGGATATGCATTCCCCAGGCAAGAGTGCTCAAAAGAGAGCCATTTATAAGCCAGGATGAACAGAGACATGTTGCTCCAAGCTCCAAAGATCCACAGCTTTCTCAAAGCCCAGGTACAAGGTGGTGGTCTGGGAAAGAAGCCCTGGGCCCTAGGCCTGCTGAGTTTTTCCTCACTGGGGTCCTTTGGGCTCATCCTTCTGATAACAGTGGAGAACTGATTCAAGCCAGAGAGCACTGTATAAACAGCAAGCCCAGGAATCCCACACAATGGGCAGCAGACTCCTGCTCACACTCCAAACCAACCCCAGCCTGCTTCTATGTAGTGCTCCAGCCAAGAATGGTTTATGTACTTTTAACTGGCTGCAAAAAATTAAATATTACCATTTCCTGACTTGCTCAAAGTCTATGAAACTCGCTGTCCACAACAAATAAAGTTTTATTGGAACACAGCCACACCCACTTGTTGACAACTTTAGTGCTACAGTTGAAAAGAATGTGACAAGGACCATGGGGGCTTGGAGAACTGTCTACACTCTGCACAAAACAGTCAACAACTCATAAAAGGAAAAGCAGAATCACTGAGCGTTCAGCTTCTTAGTAGCTTATGTGCTCCTCCCCTCCACCCTGCACTTTGACCCTACCTTGACCTCTAAGTAGCTGTGTGACTATGAGCAAGTGGCTTAACTTCTCTGTGTTGAAACAGGGTTTAGGGAGCAGAGCATGGTGACCTACCACTGTAAATCCAACTCTCAGGAGGCTGAGGTAGGAGGAGCAAGCCTGGGCTATGTAACAAGACCCTGTCTCAGAAAAAGAAAATATATAATTCAATAAAGACCCATAAAGGCCTGTTTTCCTGTTCAAGGCTCCCTCCATTGGGCTTCCAGAAGGTCCGAGGCTGACTGTGCTTTGCATCCTCAGTGCTGTTCCAGAACGGATGGTCACCCAAGTGTTTGCTGATGAACGGTATCCCAGTGACATTCAGCATACAGTAGATGCACAATAAATGTGACCTTCATTGAACTTGAAATGAAGAACTAGGCAATCTATGAAAGACCCGCGTCTCCTTTGAATTCAAAGCCAGAAGGTGGGGGGGCGCTCCTGCCAGGTGGCGGACCACGTGAGGACCATCGGGGACAAGGGAGGCGGGGTCAGCAGTTCACCTCTCCCACCGCACCCCTAAAGCTGATGCTCCGCTGAAGATGCGAGTCCCTGGATACCGGAGCCTATTGGCTTCTTTTGCGCTGGTCTCAGAGTAAGCCAGTCCCAGAAGCAAGCAGCCTCCACCGAGCAGCTTGCGGGTCTGACCCTGTGACCTTGGCGCTGACGTGTCACCACTTCCCTCGGCGCCGAGGGAAAAGAGCTCTTCAAGCGGTTCAGTTCATCCCCATCGCCCGCTCCCTCCAAAAAAAATAGGATGCTTGGAAATTCCGTTCAAGGAATCGGGGTGGGGGGGCGCGGAGGCGGCTCTGCGGAGGGATGGGGGATCTCGCAACTCCCAAACCTCATCCTAAGGGTCAAGAGTAGCCGTCCTCACCTCCCTCAGCAGTGTGCCCTGGCCTCGGGGCGTCCCCACCCCTCTGCACCCAGCGCCCGAGAGCCTTGTCCTTGTGCCTCTGGGTCGTAACAGCTGCCTCTCCAGGCTCCGCCGGCCAATTAGCCCAGCCATCACCACGGCAACGGGCGCTGGCGGGCCGGCTGGCGCCCCGGGCCGCCCTGACGCGGCCCCTCCCCTAAGGTGGGGTGCAGGGAGGACTGCTTGGGGGGGTGCAAAGGCGCCCCACCCACATCCCTTCCCCAGGAGACCAGGGCGTACGTGAGGGTAGCACGCCGGGCCCGCCAATCCCAGGATTTGGGGGGCCCCTGCCCTTCCTCCTGGACACGCACAGGTGCTGCGCTGGGAACCCGTTTTTTGCTCCAGCAAGTTTGTCGAGCCCAGCAGTGCGCAGTCCCGCGCCGCGCGCTCGGGGAACCGGGGGCGCAGTCCCCGGCATCCCCCAGCCGTCGCCCCCAAGCCTCAGTCCTACCTGGATGTACGCCATCTTCGCCCGCGCGTACTCACTCCGGCCCGGGCATGGCGTCGCCGCGGCCACTTTGCCCGCGCGGACCGGGGGAGGAGGGTGGCACGGCGGGCGGGCCGGGCAGAGCGGGTGGCCCCAGACGTGACTTGCGTGGCTGATGAGCGGCGCCCGCCCCTGTACCGACCGCCCCGTCCTTGCCTGGCCCTGCGGGGCCGCCTCCCGGGATCACAGAGCTGGGGTGCCCTGGGGCGCCCCGCTTCGGCCTCCCTGGCGAGCCTGCTCCCCCACCCCCACCTGGGGCGCTCCCCTGGCTGCAATAAAGCCGGGGCACCTGGCCAGGGAGCCCCGGCGAGCGGCGGGGACTGCGGCGACCCCGACGCAGGCGGGGCCGGCGACGCTGGGGCCCGAGCGCGGGGAGGCGGGGGAAGGGACGGGGACGCGGAGGGGTGGGCGGGGGCGGTGCCCAGGTCAGCGCAGCCCGCAGGCACCAGGGTGGCACCGATCGACTGACTGATTGACAGCAGAACTTCCGGGGCGGCTGCGAGGCCAGGCGCCACAGCGCAGCCCGCGTGGGGTCTGACACTACAGGGTCCCCTCCATCCCGCCCTCGCCCCAAAGCGGCTTGGCAAAAGTTTTATTCCAGCCCCACCCGTCTGGCCTAGAACGGTGGCGGCGAAATGTGCAGAGGCTGCTGAGCCGCAGCCATCAAGTTCGGGTGGACCGAGGGCAGCGCGGAGGAGGAGGCTGCGGGAGGGGTATGCTCACGCACGCTCCTCTGTGCACCCCGTACCCTCAATCTGCGCGATTTGTGTCCAGGACGCAACAGGTCTAGCGCCGGGTGGCCGGGTAGCGCCACCCAGCGTCGTGCGGGGCCTGATGCGCGTTTCTGCCCGAGGGCAGCTGGCATGCGAGTCCTGGGACGTGACCACCGCGCGTCTGCTTCCCCTGCGGGCCGTGGGGCTGGGGTTCGCTGGACCGGAAGACCTCCAGCACATCGCACAGCCCAAGATCTTCAGCCCAAAGCCACCACGCTCGGCGTGGCTCTCCAGGGAGGACCTTCAGATGGAACGCCTTCCTCCCCTGGTTTCTTTTTTTCCGATGCCCAGCAGATGGTGTCGCTGCTCACCAGTGCACCAAGCTTGTAATTACAACTTCAGGGTCTCGGTCTTTTCAACGGTAAAAATGGGATCAAATTTTCGGCCCCAGCTAGCCTCCACGGGGGGATAATCGAGAAAAGGAATTTGGAAGTAATTAAATTAAATATATAATACCCACGTGGAAAATCTGGCATTTGGGGATATGGCATGTTTTCGTTTGTAGCTCAGCAGGCGACATGTAGAGCTCCATGCTCCAAGAGTAACAGCTGTTATCTTCATCAGAGCAGCTATCTATGCCTATTGCAAGAGACCCCCGAGACAGGGCTTGCTGACTGCTGGTATTCTCTCAGAAAAGGAGGGCGGAGGGAGGGTCATTATACCCCCACCTGAGGTTCCAGACCCTTTCTCCTGCACCTCCCAGCAGTTGGTCTGGCTGCTCTGGAGTCACCGGTCACCCCTTATCTATGCTCTGTGATTACCCAATAAACTCATTGGTTCCCCCAGTTGGATTTTGGTGAAATGGTGCTTTGGTTTGTTGTGTGCCCTGTAAGGAAGCGGTAAGAATTAGTTTACGTCTCCCTGAAATACCTGTTGGGCACGGATAATGGAACAGGCAAGTGAATAGCAGGAGCATCACTCAGGTACCTTGGTTCCCTGTGTATCTCTACTGCAGAGCCTGGAGCAGCATAGACCCTCAGCAAAGGTTTGGGTCCTTGCTGTAGACTCTGCCTACACTGGGATTAGCCCCAATTTAAAGATGGGGAGACTGAGGTCCAAAGAGGTAAGGTCACTCTCCCAAGGCACTGGCACAATTCACACTCAACAGGCCTAAACACACACACACACACACACACACACACACACACACACTCGCAGTTTATCTGAAGGATTCCCCAGCACTGATGGGAAGTGTACTTGGGGGGAGGGTTACAGAGGCAGGGTGCTTCTTCACTAGGATGGGTGCTCCTTGTAGAAACAGGAGGGGGTTAGAGGAATTTGCTAGATGTTTCTATAAATATGTTGGCTAACTTTTAAAATATTATCATTATCATTATTTGTAGTGTTATTTTGAGTCAGTTTTGCTGTGTACCTCAAACTCTAGATCCTCCTGTCTCCACCTCCCGAGTCCTGGGGTTGTAAGCTTGCATCTCTGAACCCTGTTATAACTGGGGGGTTTTCAGATTTGTTTTCAGCCCTCTTACACACATTCACACTTTTAATTTTCTGATAAATCTGAGGTGCCTTTACTATCCCTTTGTCTAGATATGAAAAAGGCATGTAGAGCTGCCTTTTATAGCAGACACACAGGTTCCAGGAGCTGGGACTCAGAACCCAGACCCCTACACTTGAGACCTCCTAGCCACCGTGGCTGGTGGTCCTTCAGTGCTTGGTCATGGGGTGAAGGTGAGCCCCTTAGGGTGAGCTTGGAACCTATCTGTCTCTTCCTCTCATCTGGTCTCGTCTCCCCCCCCCCTTATTTTCTCTCTCCCCTCACTTTTCTCCTCCTCTTCCTCTTCCTCCTCTTCCTTTTCCTCCTATTCCTATTCCCTCCCTCCCCTTTTTTGGTCTTCTCACTATGTACCCAAGGATTGCCTCAAACTCATTATATAACCCAGGCTAGCTTTGAACCCTCCATCCTCTTGCCTCTGCCTTCCTGAGGCTAGGATTACAGGTGTGCATCACCATACCTGGTCCCTGGTACCTTAGTCTTGGAAGAGCTGAAGTTGCCTGAGAAGACTAAGCATCTCTAGTAAGGAAAGAGTTTGCTGCGCACAGGAGTAACAGAATCAGCTAGTCTGCTTTGGCTATTGTCAGATGTTTCAGTTGAATGCACATTACCTGGCAGTGAGTACTTCATAAATGCTCTGCTGGCTGAGTAAATGGACAGTAAAACTCAGACTCTGAAGTCAAGTGCTGAGCACTGCACATGAACCCTTATTTAATCCCCATTGGAACTCTTAAGGCTGCTGCTGGAGGTCTCTCTCTTTTACAAGATAAGAAACTGAAGTACTGGATTGTGGAGCAAAGTGAGCTGCCACCAGTAGCACACAGAGGAATGCAGATTCAGTTCCCGGTAATGGCCCAGTGGCTCGTGGCTGCCCCATCCTCAGAAGAGAGAATCAACCAGAGGTCAACTGGAGGCCTTTATCAGGGAGTGTCCAAAGTTACTCTGAGGTTGGATTCCAGGGTCCTGTGGCGTTTTGATCACTTCCCTATCCTTCACGGGCACCTGCAGGACAGCTTTGAGCTGTCACTTGGACTCAGACCAAGGCAGATGGTACCTATGCATAGAATTACATGTGACATGAGGAGTGACACGGGGAGGCCCAAGGGACTCCAGGGATGCAGATCAAGGCTCTGATTTAGTGTGGTAAGGGTCAGAGAAGACTTCCCAGGGGGACTGTCATTAAACTGACTCCCAAAGAACTAAAGACGGGAGATTATTCCAGAGCACACTGGTGCTTGAGAGATGACTGTGGGGTCCATGAACTTGGAAAGGAAAAGTTAGTCCTCCGTGGTCACGCAGCTCTGCTTGAAACCTAATATTTCTTCCCATTGCGAAAATGGGCAACAAACTTGAACAGTATGAGCCCTTTCCAAGAAAAAACTGCAGCTCACGTTGCCACATTCTTGTTGCAGATGGCTTCAAATTTAATTTGCTTGAAACCTAATATTTCTTCCCATTGCGAAAATGGGCAACAAACTTGAACAGCATGAGCCCTTTCCAAGAAAAAACTGCAGCTTCACGTTGCCACATTCTTGTTGCAGATGGCTTCAAATTTAATTTGTGCTCTTTTTAAGTATAATTTTCTTTTTCATTAAATATATTTAGTTTGTGTGCTGTGTGTGTGAGAGTGCAGCCACATGCTTGACACAGGATGGGTATGGAAGTCAGGGGACAACTTTCAGGATCAGATCTCTTTCCAACATGTGGGTTCCAGGGATTGAACTCAGGTTATCAGGTTTGGCGGCAAGCTCTTATCCACTGAACTATTTCACCAGCCCATGTTTTTACTTTTTACAGCTTGAAAATTGCAAGAGTTATTAGAGATACCACTAGATCTTTCTATCAAAAGTACCATTAAAGAGGCACATACAAGTTAAGTATTATGACATACATCTATAAACCCAGCACTTATGAGTCTGAGGCAGGAGGACTAGGAGTTCCAGGCCAGCCTAGGCTATAAAGTGACATCCTGATCAAAATCCAGGAGGAAGAGGAGGAGAAATATTACTATATTTCAATTTTTTGAACATTTTGATAACTGTATAAGTAACTAATTTCATTGTTGTCTGATGTAGTCTATGCTTAAAAAGCATTATTCAAGAGATTCAGTTTATAGGCCTCCACAGACTGCCTATGGTTTCATTGTACAGAAGGTTAAGAGCCCCTGGCCCCTCACTAAAGTAGCAGGTGCATTGGGAGAGTGGGAAATTCAAGCAGTTCTCAGGCTGCAGTGCGGCCAGGTAAGGTTCAACAGGTGGGAAGAGCCAGATGTCGGGCCATCGCCTGTCAAAAAGAGCAAAAGATTTTGGCAGGGTGTGTGTGTGTGTGTGTGTGTGTGTGTGTGTACCAGGGGTGTGTGTGTGTGTACCAGGGGTGTGTGTGTGTGTGTACCAAGGGTGTATGTGTGTGTGTGTGTGTACCAGGGGTGTGTGTGTGTGTACCAAGGGTGTGTGTGTGTGTGTGTACCAGGGGTGTGTGTGTGTGTACCAGAGGTGTATGTGTGTGTACCAGGTGTGTGTGTGTGTGTGTACCAGGGGTGTGTGTGTGTGTACCAGAGGTGTCTGTGTGTGCATGTGTGTACCAGGGGTGTGTGTGTGTGTGTGTGTGTGTGTTTGTGTGTGTACCAGCAAGCTCACCTATGGGGAGGCTGTTACAACACAGACAAGGTGGTATGTCTGAACTGAGGTGATGGCAGAGGAGAGGTAGCAATGAGGAGTGACCAGTGGTGTGGTGAGGCTGTGGGAGGCAGAGAAGGGTAGAGGAGGGCAAGTTTGCGTGGGAGGAGGGTTTGGTTTCCAGACACTGGTGGAATTAGGGATGCTTTAGAAGTCATAAAGTCCCTGTATGTGTCACTTTTCCCAGCTTCTCTCTGAATATTTGAAATTTTTTTTCCTGGGGTATATTTGCTTACCGAGGGAAAAAAAACAAACAGGTCCTCAACTTGTATTTTTACATTTGTGATCCCAAATAAGAGAAATTTTATGGCACATCTGATGGAGAATTTCTGGTCCTGCTCAGATCACGTGCTGGCTGCGCCAGAGGACCCGGCACTCTGCTTGAGACTGGACAGGTGGCCAGACGTGTGTG